ATTTCATTACTTAATTTTCTTGTTTTATTTTAACTCATTTTATCTCATTTTGTTTTATTTAATTTAATTTTAATTATTTTGCTTAATTTTCTTATGTTATTTTGTTTAATATTATTTTATTTTTATACTTTATTTTATTAGAATATATTTCGTTTTGTATGAAGTGTTTTTTTTTGGTATTAAATTTTTATATTAATTTTTTAATACATTTTATTTATTACTTTATTTCATTTCATTTAATTATAATCAGTTTTATATTTCATTTAATTTTATTTTGTGTTTGTACTTATTTTTTAAATTTATTTCTTTATTTCAATTCAGACTTTATTTTATTTTGTTGTTTTTGTTTTATTTTTATGTTATTTTTGTTCTTTTTTTACTTACTTTTTGCAATGTTAATTTATTTAATTTTTAATCTCTTATTTTATTTTGTTTTTTATTTAGTTTAATATGCTTTTTTTTAGTAAGTTTAGGGCTTTAGTTTTGATTTAATTTTTTTTACTTGGTTTTTACATTATGTTATTTCATTGAATTATATTTTGTACTTAATTTTTATGTTTTTTGTTTTGTTGTAGTTTAGTTTTTATTTTAATGTACTGTATTTAATTTATTATGTTATTTTATTTAATTATAATTTTTTTACTATTTCATTTTATTTTCAAACTCTTTTATTTTTCATTTTTCTTTAATTTACTTGTCTGTTATAATTTAGGTTTTATTTTATTTTATTGCTTTTCAATATTTCTTATTAATTTTTTTTTTTTGGAGCCGATGGCCACAGGCTTAATCTAATAAACAGTAATAATAATAATTTTTTTTCTTTATAATTAAGTTTTCATTCCATTTTAATTCATTATTCTATTCTATATTCATCTAATATTTTAAAATTATTTTTTAGATTATTTTATGGCATTGTTATGGTATATTATTTTATTATATCTTTTTTATTCACTACATTTTTTTGTAATTAATTTAATTTTTGTAATTTTGTTCTATTGTTTTTTCTTTTAACGTAATTCTTTTATTGTAATTAAGTTTTATATTTTTTTTTAATTTTCAATTTATTTTTTCTTTGTTATTAACCTAAATAATTAAAAGCTTATTCAAAACAAAAATGTATATTTAAGGATTTGAACAAGAAAACCTTCAAAAAGTTCAGAAAAAATATATTTGAAAGTGCTTGAAAAAACTGTCAGAAAAATAGACATAAAATCAAATAAAATTTTTCAAGTAATGAAGAATGTAATTATTTTGCTAACAAAATCAATATTGCTAAATATACATATCCATAACTTCAAAATCATAAAAATCATTTAAAAAAAAGAATATTTGATTGAAAAGTGATTTTAAATTATTGAAACCACATAACGTAAATATTAAAATGTATTTTATATATTTTAGAATTCACACATTCACACCTCTTTTCGCTTAATTTTAAATATAAAATGATTGTTATTTTCACTTTTCACAATACTTAAATTGTCATTGACACTGACCATGCCCAAACGCAACAAATGAACGCTTAGAATGATCAACTAATATAAACAAAATGTTACATCAGTTTTTATAAATCTTCAAACGGCTCTCTACAAGGTCACAGCAGCGAACAACAGAATATCAGATCATTCAAATTAGTTCGAATTTTTGTTTAATATAGTAAATTGTTATGAAAATAGTTGATTTTAGAAAACAAGCTTATTGCATCAGTATATCTGTGAAGAAGAAAAAAGCATTTACAATTTTGCTGTATTGTAGAGTTGTTGTTTATTTATTAAATATTAATTTACATATATGAATATGTTTGTATAGGTCTCACGTTATGCTAAGATGATGCGAATTATTCGTGTGACGTTGCTTATAGTTAATTTATTTTATTAAAATTAAATATAATAATAATAAAAGAAAATAAAAGAAAAATTACAATTTTCCCCTTAAAAAAGATTATTATTAAAAAAAATAAAAAATTCACCTCAAAAACCTAATTTTATTTTAATTTATTTCTTATTTAAATATAGCGGCGTATATTTATGTTTAATTGTTCATGTTTTTCATAAACATACACACATCTATAAGTTGCTAAGGCAGTTAAGGGCAGCTTGCCGCTGTGAGACTCAGTTCATTTTGAAAATACTCATTTGATTGCTCCAGCCCTTATTTATTTAATAATAATAATAATATTTTATTTTAATAAAATACTTTCAAAGACTTTGTTGCTAATTACTGTGAGTGTAATTTTTTTGCGATTAATTCTCTTTTTTTTGTTTTTTTTTTCTTCTAAAATAGAATTTATTTATTTCTATGAAACACCCATAACTAGATTTGAATTGTATTAATTCAGCCATATTATATTTTTACTTTCATCAATTGAATTTGTATTATTGGCAAGTATTTTTTGGGTTATCATTGGGTCAACGATGTGCCACAAACTTGCATAAACGTTATGGCTTTTAGTTTATTATTTATTATTGAAAGTTATCATTTTCATGTCGTAGACAATAATTTCCTACGTCGTTGGGAATTAGTTTATATTGTGTAAAAATAGTAATGATTGTTGGTTGTTATTATCGCGATTCTAATTGTCTGAAATAGCAGAAATTATCAAAATTTAAATTAATGCTTTTTTTATTCCAATAATTAGCGCACATGTGCCGAAGTCGTAAAGCTTATTAGACATAGAGATTACAGTCGAGTACAGAAGAATGCAGACATCATCGAAGAAACTAACTCTTTCTATTTTAATCACTCTTTTATATCTTATAGCATGTGTACATACATATATATAACATAATAGTTGTCTTCTTACCTGACTAATTACTTGCTCAGGGTTTACCAAGAAGAGGTGTCATTTTAATATTCCAAGATGCAGCTGAAGCTTATATTGTCTTTTTTAAGATATGTAAATGATCGAATGTTTATTTCAATGCAAAGAGGAAGATATGCCATTGATAATAGAAAAGAATATCAACTGGTCTGTATCCTTTTTATGCAATTTTCCAACATCAAATCGCAAAATGGCTGCTGTATGCCCCCAAAACCTGCACTAAATCCATATTTGAGGTCTTGAATCGACGTTAGCCTATTGTAGTAGATTTTGTCGTTCACATGGCCTGAAAGAATGAAGGCGCAAGGTATTAAATCACAAGATCTTGTGGCTACTTCTTCGATCGTATCGATCACCTCTTTAATAAGTCAGCACAAATAGCTCATTACAGCCTCAAAAGTGTGGGCACAGCATTTCTGTAAGAAAGATGCAGCTTAAATTTTTCAGTTTGTATTGGCTCTTAAGCAAGAAATCTGGGTTCAGCTTTGAAAATACAAAGTTATTCTATATAGTGCGTCTATAAAACCAATATGGATGTATGGAAACCAGTTTATTGGGCATAGCATATGCGATGAATCTAGATATTAGGTAAAGTAAAAGGTTCGTTCGTTTTTTTATTAATTTTTCAAAATTTGATAACTTTGTGTACATTTGTCCGATTTAAGCCGTTTTGTTCATAAACTTATATCCAAAGAGATGTCCAGTTCATTATACCCCTCTCGTAGAAGGCTGCGGCGCTATAGGCAAAAAACTCGTAGAGCCAATTTTCACATGCCTCTCTTGAGGCCAGCTTCTCGCCATTAAGCGCGTTCGCCATGAACAGGAAAAGATAGTTATCACTTGGTGTCAGGTCCGGACTATAAGTTGGCTGCATTAGGACCTCCTATCCGAGCTCCTGAAGCTTCTGGCACGTCACCAAAGACGTGTGTGGCCTGTTGGAACACAATTCGGCCTCTGTTGATCAAAGATGACCTCTTCTGGATGAGTGCTGCCTTTAACTTTACCTAATATAATACAGAAATTTCAGTCGAAAATATTAGTTAATGAAAACATCCACAGAAATCTCCATATACGCACCAACAAAGAAGAGATTGAAATCCTAACAAACACATACGTTATCACTTTGGCCTCCAGAACAAGCCAAAAGTGCTTGCATAGAAGATTCTTACTATCCTTGTAAAAAGCAACACTAAACAAGCAGCACATTCCTAGCCGATTAAGGAAATAAATACAAATATTACTAATAAAAAAGAAGTGAATTTTTAACCGCTATAACAATTTTCGGTCGCGCTCATCCTCTACTACTTTTTGGTTGGGCAAACAAATGGAGGTACCTATAGCTTATACTAAGACGCCTACGAACGGCTGATAGATTTTTATGAGAAGTTTTTTTTATTTCATGGTAGAAATACAGTCGTAAGGCTTGACTTTCAATTATAAAAATTAATTTTCTGTAAGTTTGAAAGTTAGCCAGGACTCGAACCCTCAAAGCCTAGCCATGGTTAGTACGTAAACCTAACAATTAGAATATTACAGCCGCCGGTTCAGCTTTGAATTCATTCAAGGGCTTTTATATAGCACATACATATATATGTATGTATATATAGCAAGTCCGCACTTCCCCTTTCTTATATGTATTGTTGTAATATACAACTACTTTTACATATTTATGTACAGTGAAATTGCTTCAACTCGCCACAATGTGATGCAACTTTGAACTTTAAGCAACAAAAATTTAAATGGAAAAAAATTAAAAGTTTTAACAGGAGCAAGTGCTCCAAATACAATAAAAAAATTCAACACGAACATTCCCGGTGTATAAATTAATTGTAGAAGCGTCTATAATTTAACAAAAAAATTAAAAAAAAAAAACAAAAAAAAAGTGCACAGTAAATGCGCATTATGTAGATTTGTAAAATTTAAAGGTCAAACAACACTTGAAGTGAATCGCATTAACCGCCAGCTATTTAAATAAATCCAATTACTTAATGTATTGTAGTAACCGAATCTGGGTTTATACATACATATGTACATATACATATATATATATTTTTTTTAATTTTGACATACTATTATTTTTAGTAAATTAAAATAGTTTATTTTTAGTAAATGAAAAAATATTTTAGTAAATTTTATAAATTAATAATTTTGAAAATTTTCCACTTTACTCCATTTACAGGAAATATTCCGCAATCAACATCGTTTAATACGCTTCATAGAGCAATCTATACGTTTGTGTAGTAATCAATCATTGAAAACCGTACAGAAACATGCCAAACAGCAAGCTGAACCCGACTTTCAGATCACCACATCGATTTCCAGCGAGTACACCACAGCACCAGAACCGATTAAACATGATAAAGATGTTGGCCAACAATTTGCTGCGGTTCAGTTGGCAGTACGTTTGGCCGCACCACATCAATTACAACCCAAACCGGATAATGATGATGCTTTGGCTTTTGGCAAAGTATTCACCGATCACATGTTGAAAATCTACTATCATCGGAGTTTAGGTGGCTGGCAAAGACCGGAAATTACGCCACTCGAAAATCTCGTTATGCATCCCGCGGCCAAAGTATTACACTACGCTGTTGAGGTGAGTTCATAAATTATTGCGGTATGACGGTTTTAGAACAATGGCAGAGATTCGAAATTTTTTAGATACGTAGGGAAAAATGTATGCAAAAATCAAAGATTAATTTTATTTAATTAAAAATAAAACTAAGTTTAAATGCAGCAGAGTGAGAGATTATATATTTGGACACGCGCTTCTTCCAATTCCTGAAAGACTCTCAAAAAGTGGTCTTTGAGAGAGCCTTTAGTACTTTCAGTGTTGCGTTTTTAATGTTACCAACTGCCGTAAGCGACAAAAGTTTAAGGATCTCTTTATAAATAGAATAGAAATAGTAAAAAGTCATATAAGGGCGTGTCTAGCGAATATGGAAGTTGGGGCTCTATTACGGTCATGTATTTGACCCAAAAAATCTCCGAAAAGTATTTAAATACACCACATATCCGTACGTTTTTAGGCATAACTTCACCGAAAAGGTGAAATACTTGTAGGTAACAATCAAAAACGTCAAATAACGAGAAGAACCGATTACGGACTGCATGTGAACTGCCAGAACCGACGAAAAAAATAAGATACGATTTCACCACTGCCGCCAAAAATTTACCCTGTTTGTCAACATTTCTCAGCAAGATAATAATAAATTAATAAAATTTTTCTCTCCCAAATATCATTCTTCTGTAAATAGCTTGTCAGTCTCTGGTAGTGCACTGTTAACTACCGCCAAAATAGTATCTTACTAATATCGTATAGAGGTGAAATAGTCTCTTAGTAATCTCGTAAGTGGAACAAATGGTAATCGGCACGCCCCGGTCCTTCTCTTTAATTTATGTACGTTATCTGGTAACAAGTACATCCCAAACGTTTGATCTGGTGGCAAAACTTCATGAATAACTATGACAATGAAATTAAAAACACTGTAGTCATAAAATTCATGTTCGAAGAAAATTTCAAAAATGCAACCAAAATGAGCTCTCGAGAATGTCAGCTCCTTGATCCTTCTTTGAAAGTCAGTGTGCTCTAGAAGGAGGATCATAATTGTACGTCAACCAGTTAATCAAAGAAGTAATATCCCGAGTACTTATTTAATAAAAAAAACCACGAAATTTGAAAATTCTCGTTATATAAAAATTATAATATCTGAGCACAACAATAAAATTTTTGTTTATTTTATTATTTTGAATTTATTGATTTATTTGATTATTTCTATTGTGCGCGAATCATTTGCTTATTAAATCAAAGTAAATTTTTATTTCATTTCGATCAAAAAGTATATAAAAAAGCATTTTCGTAATACACTTTCAACATCTCATTAGATTTTCAAAAACCAAAAATTGATGCCACATGTAAACATGTTATTTTTACAGTTACCCGGGCTGAGTTTCTTCCTCGGAACAGAGAAATTAATAACTGTAAAGTAGCAATATCAGTTGCATTTAGAAAAACCAACCGTTTAATTGATATATGTAAACACACTTTAAGTTAGTATGTAAGTAGCCATTAAGTAACAATATAAGTCAGATTTTCGAATAGTTTTTTTATTATTAATAACTTTTTTATTTTTTTTATTTTTTTTTTTTTTGTGTATGCCTTTGAATAACACGTAATTAGTTTATTGCAAAAAACTTTAAAAATTCAAATTAATTTAAAAATTTACTAATTCCACCCCCAAATCGCTCTTCACCTTACAGCTCTTCGAAGGTATGAAAGCCTATCGCGGTGTTGATGGTAAAATTCGAATTTTCCGCCCCAACATGAATATGAATCGCATGAATCTCGCTGCTAAACGTTCCGGCCTACCCACATTCGAGGGTGAAGAATATATTAAATGCCTTTCCCGCCTTATTTCCATCGATTCCGAATGGGTGCCACATAGCGAAGCAGCCAGTTTATATATCCGCCCCACATTGATCGGTATCGATCCAACGCTTGGTGTTGCCTCCTCCGATTCTGCCCTGCTCTATACGATACTTAGTCCAGTTGGTAGTTACTTTAAGGCTGATAATGATGGTGCAGTGTCACTTTTAGCAGATCCACAGTATACAAGGTGAGTTGCGGGGAGGAGTAAGAATAATAATTTTTTTCGTATAGTGTGTATAGTATATGTTTATGTATGTTTGCAAGTATGTTTTTTAAATCAAATATATATATTTTTATGCATCTTATAGAGCGTGGCCCGGTGGTGTGGGTAATCGTAAAATGGGCTCCAACTATGCACCCACAATCAATGTACAAAAAGAGGCTGCCCAAAAGGGTCTACAACAAGTATTGTGGTTATATGGTGAAGATCATCAACTAACAGAAGTGGGCACAATGAATATATTCATGTTTTATGCCCAAGAAAATGGAGGTAAATAGCAAATGTCTTTAACAGCTTAGCTAATGAAATATATTATTATTATTAAAATTATTAATATTATAATTACCGTACTGAAATCGGACGAGCTCCTTTTCTAATTTGTTGATGTTTGTACATCAATGGAGGGATCTACAGTTCATAACAAGCCGCATTCGAACGGTCGATGAATTTTTATGAGGATCTTTTTTAATTCACGACAGATATGGACTTGGAATAAGGCTTCGCATTCCCTACCGAGGGACGACCACAATTAGAAAAATCAGAAAAAAAATTGCAAAATTTTCTATAATTTTGGATGTTGGTCGAAACAAGACTCGAAGAACGCTTTGAAATTATAAAAATTTACTTTAAAAATTCAATCGGAAAATTATTTCGACTAATGAGAACTATTTTTACCTCGACGGCTGCGATTTTCACTCTAGCCTTGCATTTGCCGTTGTACTCCTCAATCCACATACTAAGTGCTCCTATGCTAAGAAAATACCCCTAGTATGGCGTGTAAAAGCATAAAGAAACAATAGCTCTGTTCGGTGAGTTAGTAAGAATTAGCCATTAGTAGTAGTTTAAAAGGAACCCTGATCAAACGCTCTTAGGCCTACTGGCTCATTGTGATACCTTATGGAGATTCATTTACCTTTAAAAAAAAAGCTCAATTCACTTTTAGTGTTCTATGAAATTCAGGAGATTTTTGAAGCCTACCTCTGTAAGGCAATCGAAGGAAGGCATTTCGAGGAAACGGTAATAGAGACCGCACTGAGAGCTGGGTAATGACAGAAGTAGTAGTGTTCCAGCGATTCTTCCTCAGCTATGTCCCTGAAGCTGCGGCAGAAGTCGTTCTAGAAGAAATCTATACTTCCACTGTGAGTCTCATAAGACAGTGTGCGAATATAATGCCGGTTGTTATGCTTATGGAGGTCTAGTTGGCTCTCCATACGTGGTTCAGTAAAAATTTCTTACAAATCTCACCTACCCTTCAGCCCAGCGAACAGAACTTATGTATAAAATAAGAATATAAAAATAGTATTCCTCAGAGATAGAAAATTTGGCTTTTACTTTAGCAAAGAACTCTCTCTATTGCACGAAAATATATTTTAATTAATTAAATTATTTATTTGGCAAAGATTCATATTATATTCTATACTCTTTCTCTCATTTGTCTATCGCAGATAAAGTACTAGTCACACCTCCACTTAATGGTCTTATCCTGCCCGGCATTACCAGAGACTCAATACTCGCGTTAACCAAACAATGGGGTAAATTTGAAGTGCGCGAAGAAGTGATTACCATGCCACAAGTCAGTCAACTACTCAACGAAGGCAGAGTAAGTACAACTCAGTGGATTTCAATTTTCTTTTTAGCTAAAATATTTATTGCAATTCTAAATATAATGAATACTCTTCATCCTTTTCTCCCACACAGCTACTGGAACTGTTTGGCACTGGTACCGCCTGTGTGGTTAGCCCGATCAATCGCATCAACTATATGGGCACAAATCTCTACATTCCCACCATGGAGCAAGAGAAGCCCATACATGAGACGATACGGGAGACATTAACCGGCATACAGTATGGCAAAATAGAGCATCCGTGGGCGGTGACAATTGACTAACTACACACGTGCGAAAGCTTTCAATACACCGTGTTGATAGTTTTTCCGTGCATTGCAGTATATTAATAGTTTTTAGTTTCCATTTTTTTTTTTTTTTTTTTTGGAGAGAAATAGCTTTACTATATAACTACACGCTATTAGTTTAAATATATTTTCGAAACTTATGGTCGGTACTAAAGCGGTTCTAATGGGTATCATAACTACTATATAACTGTATACATATAGTATACAAGTTGCAGGTGTACTTTATTTTTGGGAAGTGGCAAAATTGTATTTTTAAAAAGTTTTCTTATGAAGAGCTACCTTTGTTTTTGGACTTTTGTTTTGAGTGCACCTTGTGCGCGTTAATTGTATATCGGTACTATTAGCATAAGCCTTTATAAGGTAGAAAGCGATATTGGAAACGCTAATTATTAAGCAAGTCCTTTATTCATTTAAAGACTTAATATTTACGTATTAATTTGATAAGTTTCTAAAATTATTTATTTATAGTTTTTTTTTTTTTTTAGGGTAAGGAGATTTTACTAAGTATGTGAAATGCTATAAACTAAGTGCGTAGAGAAAATTGTAGTACATAAATACATATATATTTATGCATAAACTCAACTCATTGTATACTGAGAAATAAAATTATGCATATGTGTTAGTCACCCAANGAACGGCCTCCAGCGGAATCGGGCACGAACTTATGCAGTCATCCAATACATCAATGGAGGGATTTACGGTTCATAACAAGCCGCATTCGAACGGTCGATGAATTTTTATGAGGATCTTTTTTAATTCACGATAGATATAGACTTGGAAGAAGGCTTCGCATTCCCTGACGAGGGACGAGCGCAATTTGAAAAATCAGAAAAAAATTGAAAAATGTTCTATAATTTTGGATGTTGGTCGAAACAAGACTCGAAGAACGCTTTGAAATTATTAAAATTTACTTTAAAACGTAATCGAAAAATTATCTTGACTAATGAGAACTATTTTCACCTCGACGGCTGCGATTTTCACTCTAGCCTTGCATTTGCCGTTGTACTTCTCGATCCACATACTAAGTGCTCCTATACTAAGAATGTGAATGGGAAAATTGATTATAGCTCGGTTCGGTGAGATATCTCAGTAAAAATTAGCCAGTAGTAGTAGTTTAATAGGTTGATAGATCACGGGAGCCTGATCAACTACTGGCCCGTTTTGATACCTTATGGAGTTTCGTTTTACCTTTAAAACATGTTCAAATCACTTGTTGTGTTTTATGAAATTCAGAAGATTTTTGAAGCTTACCTCTGTAAGGCAATCGAAGGAGAAATTTTCGAGGAAACGGTAACAGAGACCGCACTGAGAGCTGGGTAATGACAGAGGTAGTAGTGTTCCCGCGATTCTTCCTCAGCTATGTGCCTGAATCTGCGGCAGAAGTCGTTCTAGAAGCAATCTATACTTCCACTGTGAGTCTCATAAGACAGTGTGCGATTATAATGCCTGTTGTTTTGCTTATGGAGGTCTAGTTGTGAAGGAGTAGAGGCTTAGTTCTGTTTACCTTTTTTGGCTCTCCATACGCGGTTCAGTAAAAATTTCTTACAAATCTCACCTACCCATCAGCCCAGCGAACAGAACTAATGTATAAAATAAGAATATAAAAATAGTATTCCTCAGAGATAGAAAATTTGGCTTTTACTTTAGCAAAGAACCCTCTCTATTGCACGAAAATATATTTTAATTAATTAAATTATTTATTTGGCAAAGATTCATATTATATTCTATACTCTTTCTCTCATTTGTCTATCGCAGATAAAGTACTAGTCACACCTCCACTTAATGGTCTTATCCTACCCGGCATTACCAGAGACTCAATACTCGCGTTAACCAAACAATGGGGTAAATTTGAAGTGCGCGAAGAAGTGATTACCATGCCACAAGTCAGTCAACTACTCAACGAAGGCAGAGTAAGTACAACTCAGTGGATTTCAATTTTCTTTTTAGCTAAAATATTTATTGCAATTCTAAATATAATGAATACTCTTCATCCTTTTCTCCCACACAGCTACTGGAACTGTTTGGCACTGGTACCGCCTGTGTGGTTAGCCCGATCAATCGCATCAACTATATGGGCACAAATCTCTACATTCCCACCATGGAGCAAGAGAAGCCCATACATGAGACGATACGGGAGACATTAACCGGCATACAGTATGGCAAAATAGAACATCCGTGGGCGGTGACGATTGACTAACTACACAAGTGCGAAAGCTTTCAATACACCGTGTTGATAGTTTTTCCGTGCATTGCAGTATATTAATAGTTTTTAGTTTCCATTTTTTTTTTTGTTTTTTTTTTGGAGAGAAATAGCTTTACTATAACTACACGCTATTAGTTTAAATATATTTTCGAAACTTATGGTCGGTACTAAAGAGGTTCTAATGGGTATCATAACTACTATATAACTGTATACATATAGTATACAAGTTGCAGGTGTACTTTATTTTTGGGAAGTGGCAAAATTGTATTTTTAAAAAGTTTTCATGTTTTTGGACTTTTGTTTTGAGTGCACCTTGTGCGCGTTAATTGTATATCGGTACTATTAGCATAAGCCTTTATAAGGTAGAAAGCGATATTGGAAACGCTAATTATTAAGCAAGTCCTTTATTCATTTAAAGACTTAATATTTACGTATTAATTTGATAAGTTTCTAAAATTATTTATTTTTAGTTTTTTTTTTTTTTTTTTTAGGGTAAGGAGATTTTACTAAGTATGTGAAATGCTATAAACTAAGTGCGTAGAGAAAATTGTAGTACATAAATACATATATATTTATGCATAAACTCAACTCATTGTATACTGAGAAATAAAATTATGCATATGTGTTAGTCACCCAATGACTAATGCTATAATGCTAAAAGTGCCTTGCCTAGTTCGAAAAAAAGGAATACTAGAATTTCATTGTGACTCGAAAAAATAATAATATTTCTCAGGTATATAATGTGAAGTCAAACATAAATATATATGTATATACATATGTATTTATGTTTTCGTATCAATGTTTGGTGTAACTGGCAAAAGACATGCAATTAAAATTATTATAATAATAAAAATAAGCTAAAAAAACAAAAACACGAAAATAATAGAAAAACTTAAGTACCAGAGTCAAGTGCATTTATTAGTTTAAACTTCGACTTGTTGTCATTTTTTTGAGATTCTGTTTCGAAATTCAAAATTAATGCTTTTTGCCAGCAAACAGAAATATTTATGCATACCAGTGTATGCGCGTAATTAAAAGAAAAAAAATAGATAAAATTATATAAAAATGAAAATGAATCAATAATTAATATTGTCTCCTAACAAAGCTTCCAAAAGCTGTGAAATTTGTTTTATAAATAGGAAATCTATTTTTGTACTTATAGCAAAAAATTATTAATGATTTTAAAGTGCTTGTATTGGATTCACTATCTTGTAATATGTTTTATAAAAAAATAATAATTTCAAATAAACAAAAACGTAAATATTGGAAAAATTGAAAAAACCACAACGAAGAAAAGAAAAAAATGTATTTTATTTATTACATTCGTCATTACAGGAGAATTGAAAATTATTCCAAGGCTGCTCACACACTGTGAAGTTAGAATTAATTAAAAAAAAATAATACAACACAGAGGTCTAATGGAGCCGACATGATTTTGATTTTTTCGAAGATAAGCAAAACCGATTTTCGAATCAGCTGTCATCACACTTGTGCAAAAAAAAAACCAGCAATTCAATTTAATTTTTGGGCCGGTATTAAGGGGTTACATACATATGTCTTGAAACCACAAAAATTCATTGTATATTTTGTATCAAAGTACAAAGTGTCAGGAATATTTTACGCAAGTTTCAAGTCAATCGAGACGAAACTGTAGAAATTAGAGAGTTTTATAACCCACCGCCTTTGTCATGGGTTTCATCGATGGCGAAACTTTAAACTCGTTTTTCTTAAAACCACTTTATCGAAATCGTTAATCCAAATTTCCCAAGGAATATTGAAGTGTTCGAAATAAGCAAGTTTTTGTAGTCCCTGAACGAGGAATTCATTTTATCTTTGACTACAACTCATTTTACAAGCCAATATGTAACCTAATTTTATACATAAAATGACGTTTTTTGTAAAAATAAAAGATACAAAAAAAATTTAAAAAAAAAAATTTTTAATTTTTTTCATTTTTCTTCGTTCAGGGGCAAGAAAAATTCACCTACTTTAAGAAAAAATTTGAATTTTTGATTTCAGAAGAAAATTGAAAAAGTTATCATGACTACCGCGAAAGCACTTTCTTGTGGACGGTCTACTTAACGACACTGCCAACGTCTTAACTTATACTGTTTTCATTAAAATTTTCATCAAATGTTGCCCACATATATATTGTACTTTTACATGCAAACAAAATAAATTGTGTACTTTATTTAGTATCTTTAAAAAAAAAAGAGAAAATCAGCTTTTTTTTGCCTTCAAGACCCATGCAACCCTTTAACACCTTTGAGATTATTAAAAATAAAATGACTACGGTAGAGATTGCATTTTTGACGATAGAATGATTTGGATGAATAATTCAGAAAATAAAGCGCAAAATTGTAAGGATTGAGAGCAGTCCGCTGGAGCTGCCAGCGTCGATGAAAGTGTAATTTTCCTTCTACTTTTACATTTGCTGATACAAAATTTGTTTGTATGTAGCTTCATAGATTAATATAGTCGTAACAAATAAGCCTTTGTAATAGTGCTGGATGTCATTGAAGACCAGTTAGATAGGCTGTCTATGCCACATGTGCTCCAACTTGCAGAGGCACTCTGGTTTTTGGCAAAAGGCTCCCACTAACGGTCTGTGGAACTCAAATATCTCTTTAGCGCGTCCTACAGTCTCTGAGATTATAACAGAAATGCTCTTGAACGTTTAATTTGTCCACCCTGGAGAATTTTAGGAACGAGCGATGATGGAAAACGGATAGCACGCGATCATTTTTACATCATATACCGCATTCCAGGCATTGCTGGTTGTAAAATCCATTGTTCATCACTTATATTTTTATTAAATTTCCTCTTACTAAGAAATTTGCACACAATTCTGTCAACGAATAACTGATCGGTTTAATTATGATATTTAAACCGACAAATCGGTTTCTGTAACACCTAAAATCGACATAAATTCTGTTTCGAAAAAATTTTTTTTTTTTTGTATACAGAATTCATTTATTTACTGGATCTGCTATAATATAAGCCTAAAAGTAAGTGTACAAATCTTAAAAACTAAATTACAAACATGATAGCTCGAGTTATTTAACTCTGAGCCCTTTTCAAACTACGGCGCTCTCCTTAGAAGGCGGGAACATCTCTTCGTTGCAGGCGGGAATTTCTCGAGGGGTTGTATAAAGCATTAGCTAGCGGATTTAGATGATTTCTTAGCTTTGTGAAGTACTTGTCCTGCTTCTTTCAATTTCAGACTTAACCAGTAGAATACCAAGGTCTTGATGAATGTTAACGTTACGAACGTACCATGGTGCGCCCGTTAGTGCTCTTAAAATTTTAGACTGGAACCTCTGTATTTTATCGATATTAGTTGCACAGGTCGTACCCCACAGTTGAATACCATACATCCAAATTGGTTTTAAT